TTGACTGCTAACCAGAAGGCTGGAGGTTCAAACCCACCAGCCACTCCTCTGAAGGAAGGTTAGGCAATCTACTTCCATAGTGATACCACCTCGGAAACCCAAGGAGGGGCCGCTGTGAGTCGGGTCTGACTCCACGGCACATAACAACAACAACAACAACATTTCCAAACAATCATATTTACAAATACAGGAGTTAGGATTTCAGCACATATGGGAAAGAAAGGGCATGGTTCAATCTGTAAACAGGGTTAGGAAGTACATATTCAAATGTATAACATAATCAAATAGTATTGGACAGAATAAGTTAGAAGTTAAACCAAAACCAAACTCACTGCTGTCAAGTCAATTCTGACTTACAGCCGTCACTCCTTGGGTTTCTGAGGTGGTACCTCTACGAAAGTAGATCACCCAGTCTTCCTTCTGAGGAGTGGCTGGTAGGTTTGAACCACTAGCCTTCTTGTTAGAAGTCAAATGCCTTAGGCACTATTAAAAAAAAAAATCAAACTCACTGCCAATCTGACTCATAGCGACCCCTCCTTGGGTTTCCAAGGCAATATCACTACGGAAGTAAATTGCCCAACCTTCTTTCCTAGGAGTGGCTGGTGAGTTTGAACCACCAGCCTCCTTTAGGCACTAGAAGGACATGGATTTTAGAGTTGGGCTTTGAGTTCTGTTTGACTTTGAGCAACTTGTTTTGGGTTTTTTAAGCCTTAATATTTTCATCTATAAAGTGAACATAGTCATATCTACCACATAAAGTTTTTGTAAAATTAAAGTGAGATCATAAAAACAGAGCAACTGCCACATAGTAGGCAATTGATAAACACTAGATACACATGGCATGTAGCAACTCCGAGATGGAGACTAACATGCCCTTGTTGATATACATATTCATCTATAGTCCCATCTTCCATCAACCAGCAAGGTTTGTGAATGCTTGGATTTCTTCTTTGTTAAACATCCAATGAATATATTAGTCAAGGCTCTTTTGACTATGTTAGAAACATAAATCAGTGTGATTTAAGAAAAGAAAAACAAAAGAAAAACATCTCCCCTGAATTGCTCAGGGGAGATGGTTACATCATGCAACTTATAATTAAATGTCCAAAAACAAATCTGGCTAAACATATGACTAGATCCACATGCTCAAACAATGCCATCAGATATTCTTCTACCTGTTTCCCCTGGTTCACTCTGTTGATGTATGTATATGTCTATCTATATCCATCCGTCCGTCTGTCTATCTATCCAAAATCTATCTATTTTCTAGGTTGGCTTTATTCTCAGGCCAGCTGTGGTTTTGCAGTTGCAAAATGGGGCATCACCAATGTCAGGCTTATTTGTTACCAACTTTAAAGCCACTTCTTTTATATAACAGTTATGACAATATTCCAGAACTGAAACTCAGTGGCCTTGATTAGAATTTTTCCATTCTTGAACAAGTCACTCTGGCTAAGTAAGTGCAGAATGTTCTAGTTGGCCAGAGCTCAAACATATGCCCATTTTCGGAGCTAAGAGAGAGAACTCCATGAAAGCATGGGTTCTGAAGGTGGGAAGATATGTTATTAGGAAAAGGAGGGAATCAGGTGATGAGCAAACCAACCAAACTCACTGCTGTGGAGTCGGATCCGACTCATAGCAACCCCTCCTTGGGTTTCTGAGGTAGTATCACTACGGAAGTAGATTGCCCAACCTTTCTTCCAAGGAGTGGCTGGTAGGTTTGAACTGTCAGTCTTCTGGTTAGTAGACAAGTGCCTTAGGCACTATGCCACCCAAGCTCCTAAAGATTTCCTTTTCAGGAGTAGGCTTCGAACTCACGCCTCCAGGGGAGATTGCGACCTGATTGCAGTGTCTTAGACTGCTCGGCCATCCTGATGACAGTCGTGGGCATCAGATGATGAGGTATCCAAAATACATGTGTCCATTCCCTGAGCTACCTTCCTTTCCCTACCCTTCCACTTTTGTTTAAATATGTTAGTTCAATTGTATTAAATTAAGATTTGGCCTAGAGACTTCCATTCTGTTAAGATAATTTGTAGTTATTCATTCTAATCTATTTTATACTTGTTTTACAATTGAACTTTATTAGGTCTAATTTAATAACTTTTTAATTTGGGAAATTAAAAAAATGAAGGACAATAACTATTTTGAACATTAATAAGTCAGAATTTGCTAATAACAATGAGTTTGAGTCTAACTTGTAATTTTCTGTACCTTGGGACAGAGTCATGTATTAAAAAAAGAAATAAGCAAGAGAATGATTTTCAAATTGAACTGTCAATGGGGAATTTAGATTTATATGTATTTATTACATGACAATAATGTTATTACGGATTATAAAATAGTCAACATATTATGGTTCACTAAGTCAGTGAAAATCATGTAGGTGTTAATGATTTGGAAACCAGCTTGTGAAGCACAACTTGGCAGAGCTATCAAGTGGTTAAGATTGTTGGTATGGGAGTGAAGGCCTTTAGTGCTCAAATCCAAGGCTGACTATTTCTGTGGTGTGTGGCCTTGGACTTGACTTGTCTGGGAAGCAATTTCCCCATATGTGTGATTAGGTAATGAAATGTAGTCATCACACAGCAGTGGGAAGAATGAAGTGCACTGGCAGGGAGGTGCAAGCTTTTCCTGTATTTTTCAAGCAGTGCATATGCTCAGCTTTATTCTCCAGGTGCCTGACTGACTCCCCCATAGTAAGTCATTTAATAATTCTTCTTGCCCCTAAGGGACCACTTATTCTCTAAGAGGGCACAAAAAAGTATTGAATGTTAGCTAAGACAAGAAGGTTAAATGACACTTTGTGGACTGTTTGGAGGCAACAAAGGAGCAAAGAGAATGGTTATATGCAGCATTCATGTGCTGCAGCTCATTTCACATACTATTGTCCATGCTGTAATATTCTTTTTTTTCTTTTTTATTGTGACTTGGGTAAAAGTTTACAGAGCAAATTCAGTTTCCATTCAGCAGCTCACATACACTTTGTCTCACGACATTGACAATTTACCACAATGCAACAGCTCCCCTCCCACTTCCTCCCCATAGTTACCTCTTCCGTGTCCTTCCCTCCATCCACTCCTGTCCCCAAGCTGTCTCCCTGTGCATACACAGCCCCACTCTTCTCCCATGATTGTTCTCTCCAAGTAGTGTATCTACCCAATGTAAATGTTCAGCTCATATGCCTGTATCCACCCAATGTAAATGTTCAGCTCAGATGCCTGTCTTTTGTTTGGCTGGAAGCCACAGGAGTTCAATGCCAGACTGGAAGGGCAACTAGGGGCCATAGTCTCAGTGGTTCCATCAGGCTCTATCAGACCAGCAAACCTGGTCCTTTTTTTTAATGATTTTGAGTTTTGTTCCACATTGTTCTCCTACTCTATTCAGGATCTCCTACATAAATACCCCTCTGAGTGATTGACAGTGGTAGCTGGGTCCCATATAGCTCTTCTTGTCTCATACTCGTATAGGCTGAGGATTGCATGGTGTACCAGTCACTTGGACTAATTGTTTCCATGTGTCTTGGGTTTTCTTCATTCTTCTTTGCTCTGGATGAGGAGAGACCCATCATTGCATCTAGATAGCCACTTGCAAGCTTTTAAGGTCTCAGTCTCTACTCGCCAAAGTAGAGTGTGGAACAATGTTTTGTGTGGTATGGTGTGCCAATTGAGCTTGATGTCCTCTGCGACTATGGTCCCGAGCCCACAGATCCAACTACTCACTCCCTCTGGGTAGCTGGCTGTGGCCAAGAAGTGACTACAACCTTGTCTCTTGTCAGCTCTCCTATATACCTGGGAATTCTTCAGAATATACAAATACACTTGTAGAAATATTGTCTGCCAACCCTATACATGGTCATGGGCACACTCCCCACTGCATAGACATACCTAATTGTTCAGCCTGTCCACTCATCTATCCACCCATATTGCAATGTTCGCCTGCACTGACAATGCAGTATTGTATGTTCAAAAGGGTTCATCTTTGCTGTCTGTACATCCTATGAATCTCTCTATGTTTTCCTCTTCCTCAGTGCTACCCTGTTGATCACTCACATTTGGTATATTGTCCTTCTCTGCACCCAAATCAATACTTGTCTCTATGTATCTAACAGTGTTCCCTCTCCTCCTCTCCCACCCCTGCTAACCAACAAAGAAAATTTCCTTCCATATAGAAACCTTTCCTTGACTTTTTACAATAACTTTTTACAGTAACTAATACACTATTTGTCCTTCTGTGATTGACTTATTTCACTCAGCATAGTGTACTCCAAGTTCATCCACATTATGCTGTGTTTTGCTGATTCTGCGTTATTCTTATTGTTGCATAGTATTCCATTGTGTGTATGTACATAGCTTGGTTATCCATTCTTCTGTTGAAGGGCACCTTGGTTGTTTCCATCTTTTGGCTATTGTAAATAGTGCTGCAATATTCTCTTAAAGACTCATGTTTTGGTCATTAGCACTCCTCACAATCCTTGCCCCAATCCAGAATGGTCTTTGATTTATCTTCACCAAGATGGAAGCTGGAATTGGAGTTTTTTCTCAGAGGTCACGACGGTGTAATGGAAAGACCAGAGCACCAAGATTAAGATTTAAGTCTTTGAGCTAGATCTACTGCACTCTTGCTGGGTGATGTTGGGCTTCTGAATGGCCCTCTCTGATTCTTTTTACTCAGTTAAAAATAAAAATAACAGTGAAGCCTCCTATGCCTAAGTCACATCTTTGCAGTGAGGGTTAAATGAAATAGTGGGAGAGTACTATCTGAGTGCAAATTTCCATTATGACTGTGATTATTATATATCTGTATCAGCATTTAAGAATTGTTAGCATCTGGATTCCTATGAGCTCTGCTTGCATTTCCCCAAGTCTCAGAGATGCAGAGGATGCCTGCCAGCTGGCTGATTTGCCAGCTGTGTCTTGTTTTGTCATTGTAAATATTACATGCCCCAACAGAGAGGCTTTGCTTATAATATGCTATGCTTTGTCCTTTATCTCTTGCAGCTTGAGAATTACATTGTGGAAAATATGAAATCGGAGATGGCCCAGATACAGCAGAATGCAGTTCAGAACCACACGGCCACCATGCTCGAGATAGGAACCAGCCTCCTGTCTCAGACCGCAGAGCAGACCAGAAAGCTGACAGATGTTGAGACCCAGGTATGTCCCTGGGGCCAGAGTCCACAAACTCTTACCCAAGAAGTTTTTTCTTTTTTTTTTTTTTTAAGCTTACTCCATAAACACAGAGCATATTTCAGCACTGCAATCTGGAAAACATGCATTTATGTTTATTGGTAATAACACTGCCTGACATGCTATACATGTTTCTTTTGATTTAATGAGGGTTAGTATATTTAGCTTTGTATGTGTTTGCAAAAACAGGACTGGCAGAGGATGTAATCAGCATTTAAATTCAAATAAACAGCTACAGCTACCAACTGTGATATGATACATGTCAAACAACAACAACAAAAGTTCCTTAGGGTCAGATTGGAGCCTTTGATGTGCATTTCTCACCTGTCTTGTTCATCGCTGGTACTGCTGTAGTCCTAATGGCGCCTGCAGAGGTTCTATGTACTTAGTGAACAGGAAGCAAAACTTGAATGGAACCCATCAGGAATGTGAAGATTTTTTACTCACCATGATCAGCATTATCCTGCATAAACACACACACACACACACACACACTCATATACACACACATACATACATACATGCACACACACATATATGTATAAAAACAAAAACCAAACTCACTGCCATCAAAT